CTCTGTGTCCCTGCCCAAGCTTCATGTTGAATTGTAATCCCCAGTGCTACAGGAGGGACCTGGTGGGAGGCGATTGTATCATAGGGGCAGATTTCCCTTTTGCTGTTCTCATAATAGTGAGTGAGTTCTCAGGAGATCTGCCTGTTTAAGAGTGTAGCATTTCTCCCTCTGCTGTCGCCATGTGAAGATATGCTTGCTCCCCCGCACCTTCCACCATGATTGTAAGTTTCCTGAGGCCTCCCCAGCCAGGCCTGCTATACAGCCTGCAGAATTATGAGTCAATCAAATCTCTTTTCTTTATAAGAGCTACCAATCTTAGGTAGCTCTTTGTAGCAATGTGAGAATTATTCAAAGTAACTTTCAGAAGGTATTGGGGTAGTGTGGTACATGTATCTTTCTTCTAGGACCCTGACTCTGTCCAAGAATATAATTTATAATCCCTACAGAGCAGTTAGCAAGACCATTGCTGGACAGTTTTACCCCATATACATGTGGTCACACTGATGTTTTATTTCTTTCCTCCTTTTTTAAAAAGTAAAATGTTCCTCCTCTCCCAGGCCAATCTGTCTTACATAACTAAGGAAATCATTCTATTGCATACAGGGGCTCTTCTCTTGCATAATAAGTCACCCATTCCTCTGTTCCTGACCATACAGACCAGCACATTAAAATCTCCCACATAAACAATCATAAATGCTCCCCATCTCCTCTAACCTCTACCGCATGTTTTGTGTTCTTTTACAACCAAACTTCTTGTCTCCAATTCTTTTTTGAAACAAGGTCTCATTCTGTCACTTGAGCTGGAGTGCAGTGACAGAGTCACAGCTCATTGCAGCTTCAATCTCCCAGGCTCAGGAGATTCTCTTTGTCAGCCTCATGAGTAGCTGGGATTACGGGCATGTGCCACCAGACCCAGCTAATTTTTAAATATTTGGGGACAGGGGTTTTTGCTATATTAGCCAGTCTGCTCTTGAATTCCCAGGCTCAAGTAATCCTCCTATCTTGGCTTCCCAAAGTGTTGGGATTATAGGCATGAGCCACCATGCCCAGCCTTGTCTCCAATACTTTACCTCATATTACTTTCAGTTCCCCTTATTAGGTTCCTATCACATGAGTCCTCTAAAATTGACACTTCCCAAAGTCTCCAATAATCTACATGTTGTCCAGCCCTATGGTCACTTTCTGGCTTCATTTTACTTGTCATCTTATCTTACTGTTTTTGACATGGTTAACCAGTCCCCAAATTCTTCATTAAAGGCAAATTCCACTGTAATTCTTTTGCCCCAGTGAATGACACACTTATTATTGGTTTAATCTTGCCTTAGTGGCTGCTTTTTCTCAATCTCCCTTGTAGCCTGATCTTCAATATGACCTTGAAAAAATACAATTTCTTGAATAACATTATTTCAATACAACAGTTTAAACACACCATTTTCCTGTATCTATGAAACTATACTTCCCATAGTGCTTTAATCAATTCATTTAAGAGCTCACAATTCACCGGTAATCACATTTAGAAATTTAGCCATGTCCCCTTTTGAAAATTCTGAATTTACCACAAATATCACAGAAACATGAACAATATTTATCAGGAAGCATTTTCAGTGGGAAAACCCATTTTCTTGAAATGCTATACAATTGCCTCCTCATTTATAATAAAAGTTAAGAAGATTTGATCAGAAATAACTAAATTTTTGAAATCATTTTTGAATTGATTTTCCTGATTTAGGTAACTTACTTGAACTTCTAAACCATCCACCACTCGTGAATATTTACATTATTTAATCAATAACAAAGGACTTTTGTTTAATTCTAACAACCAACTTTTTGATGTTTCGTTAAATCACAAGGAAACTGGAAGCATTGTTTTTTTGTGATAGGATCAAGAATACTAGAAACCACACTTCACACTTTAGATAAAATTTGAGGATTCACATGCTCAAATGTTTAATTCTAACATCTATTAGGAGTAAAATATCATATTAAACCTCTCTCATTCTTTTATTGTCCACAATTTATTTGATATGTTTTAGTATGTGACACAGAGGAAAATACTAAGCAGATACCATTTCTAAATTCGAAAACTGCCCTCGACTGCCACTTTATTCTCTTTTCTACAACAGGTGTGGAAGATTAGAATTCAGACAAACATGTCATATAAGTTGTGGAGATTCCCGTTTCCTCTGCGACAGCAGTAGAACTGAAGGGAAATCAAACAACAGCTACCTCAGCAGTAAAGCCTCAATGATGATACTTTTATCTCAATAGTGGAAGCTGGTAGTTTCCAAAAATAGAGCTAAAAAGTGAATCAATGTTTAAAGCACATTTAAAATCATATGCAAAATTCATTATTACAGAAAGGATAGAAGGCAACCGCAACAAATGGGTGAATTTCAAAATTAAATTTTAATCTGAAAGGTTCATGTTGTCAAAACTGACTATAGTAGTCCATCTCATTGCTATAAAAGAATACTGGGTAATTTATAAAGAAAAGAGGAGTATTTGGCTGATGGTTTTGCAGGCTATACAAATATGGCCCCATTATCTGCTTGACTTCTGCTGAGGCCCAGGAAGCTTACAATCATGGCTTAAGGTAAAGGGGGAGTCAGCGTATTACATGGGGACGGAGGGAACAGGAGAGATACTAGGCTCTTTTAAACAACAAGATCTCTCATGTATTCACAGAGCAAGAACTCATTACCAGGAGGACAGCACAAAACCATTCATGGAAATCCATCCTTGGGAATTAAACACCGTTTAAGAAAAAAGAAAATATGGGCCAGAAATCTTGATCAAGTTAGTTCTAGAGATCTCTTCTTGATATAAGGACATTAAAAAGACGTGACAATCAAAGGTGATGCATGATTCTGAACTTGATCCTTTTGCTATGAAATTTTATTGGGACTACCGAAAAATTTTAATGGAAGCTCTAGAATGAGATGGCAGCAATGTATTAATACCAATTTTCTGGTTTCGTTGGTTGTACTGTGCACGTATTGCATGCACAGTAGGCCCACCTCCAACATTGGAGGTCACATTTCAACATGAGATTTGGAGGGGACAAAACATCCAAACCATATCACCAGCAGAAATTCATTGTTTAAAGCTCTGTATTCAGTCCATTGGCCTTTTTGAGAAATGTCATTCATTTTACCCATCCAGCAAATTATTATTTGATACAATTATACCTCTTCATTCTTTAAAAGTTTCAGAAGCATCAATTTAATAAATATTCATTGTAAATTTGAGGTCAAATTGATGTGGCACCTAAGTACTGTGGGGATGGGATGAGGAGACAGAAAGTCACTAGGGGAGGTAGCAAGAAACAGAGAGAAAAAGAGATGAGAGGAGAGAACAAGAGAGAAATGAGGACAGAGAATAAGAAAAACAAAAAAGAAAAAGGAAAAGAAAAATCATTTAAATGAGAGCAAATGTTGTCTGATGTTTTTGCCATGGGGTCATTGGGTATTTGACGTTTCAGAACACTCAGATGTGACTTTAGTGTAATGAGGTTATAACTTATAAGAAAACCAGAAGTGATTCCTTTTAAGAGGACCTTCTGAAAGATGCTGTTGTCTTTCTTATCTTCCTTTAGCTCTTCTTCACCTCTCCATTGCTACAGATTTTTATACCAAATAGTTGGCAGTAGCTAAACCAATGTCTAGGAGAACTGATCCTCACCGAAGAAAATTATAATTTATCATTATCATAATTCATAGTATTTATTTGTACAACAGATACACTTTTATTTAAGAGAAAGTAGAAAACAAAGCAGAACAGGAAAAACTTTAAAAAATTTGTTTGGGGATTTCCCAGGTTTGCCAAAGTAATCCCACAAAATCAATTAACATTTACTTCGAAAATTAAGACAAAAACAGGCTGGGCATGGTGGCTCATGCCTATAGTCTCAGCATTTTGGGAAGATGAGGCAGGCAGATCATGAGGTCAGGAGTTCAAGATGAGCCTGGCCAATATGGTGAAATCCCATCCCTTCTAAAAATATAAAAATTAGCCGGGCGTGGTGGCTAGTGCCTGTAGTCCCAGCTACAGAAAGGCTGAGGCAGAAAAATCACTTGAACCCGGGAGGCAGATGTTGCAGTGAGCCAAGATCACACCACTGCCCTCAGGGGGGACAGAGCGAGATTCCTCCAAAAAAAAAAAAAAAAAAAAAAAAAATTAAGACAAAACAAATCGTAAAATTCTGTTTGCTATAATGTGTGGATAGCTTCAGTTTCAGAATTCCAAAATCAAATATTCAGAATATTGGTTTGAAATATCCTTTTCTGAATATGCTTAGAATTACTTAGCTTGAAAACTTTGGATATTCTAGCTCCTTTTAAAATAGCATGTTTTATTTTTAATCAAAGTTTTGCAAGTCCTTAATTGGAAATGTACCTTCTTTTAATGTTGTCATGGTATTTAATATTACTTAAAAGTAAAACTTAAAATAACTTTTGCTCATATTTAGTCACAGTTTATAGGCCCTACATTTATTTTTCTAAAGCTAACTATATTATACCACTTATAAATAATATGGCCAAAGTTGCTACATGGGTCCTGTTCGGTATAATATATAACGTGAGCTATTTATATTTAATATTTCACCAAGTTCTAATGCGTCTAAAGAACACAATAGATTCTATAATTTAAACATAATAATGAATATTTTCCTGTAAAAGCCAAGACAGTAAAAAAAATTCAGATTTAAAATAAGACAGAGAAAACGCATGATTTACTTGCGCTTACCTAAGTAAACCTTATTTACATGTGAACCTATCAATAATTACCAAAGTAAAAGTCATTATGAAATCCTCCAGATCTTTCAAAGTACTATCTTACATTCAAGCATTGAGTTTGCTTATAAAATTATTTAAACTCAGCCTTTTCCTCAGTCTCCAAAACTCTGGCATATAACTTCACAAACACTTCAATAGGGGACAGAGTCTCCTTTCATCATTCATTCTACCAACCATCAAGTTCGTAAGAATTAGAATCAAGTGTAATATGAATGAACTAAATATGATCATTGATATAAATTTATATGTGTTCAGACATCTTTAGACATATTGTCAGTGCACATGTAAATAATAATAACTTCTTTAATAGAGTTCTCCAGAGAAATTGAACCAACAGGAATGTGCATACAACTCAGTTATGTATTTTATGTAATAAACACTAATGACATCTAATGATGAAGTCTTTTCATTCACTAATCATTAAAAGAAACCCAGGCTGGGCTTTTGCCCTTAAGGGTTTCTATTTTTATTCCCTCACAGTTATCTCCTCGATACATGATTCTTCCTCTCAGATATTAACCAGAAGGAATGGTTAGCCTCTAACTACAGCTCTCAGTGAGAGAGAGGAAGGGAGGAACACAGACTTTGCACAATGAGGATGCATGGGCTTTAATCAATTCCAACAGGAACTCTTGGCTTAGACAACTATGTAGTTGATGGTATCCCTATAGGAAAAAAAAAATTATATACATACATATCTATCTATCTATGTACACACACACACACACACACACACAATTTTGTGGTAGCAGGACAGATTCATAGATTCAGTTTCAGGCATTTGTTCAACAAATATTGGTGTTCAGTATATATTAGTGTTCTGCACTAGGTACTATGTACTAAAAATACAGTAAGGGATAAAACTATCTATTTGAAGGAATAAACAAAAATGAATAAAGAAACATAAAATTCCTATTACCCTTTAGGAAAAGCAACATAAAATAGTAAATTAACAGAATCTAGAAATAGAGAATGATAACAAAATAGAAGTCAGCTACTCGGGAGACTGAGGGTACAGTGAGCCAAGATCATGCCACTGCACTCCAGAGCAAGACTCTATCCCAAAAAGAAAGAAAGAGAAAAAGGAAGTAAGGAAGCAAGGAAGGAAAGAAGGAAGGAAGGAAGGAACGGAGGGAGGGAGGGAGGGAGGGAGGGAGGGAGGGAGGGAAGGGAGGGAGAGAAGGAAGGGAAGGAAGGGAAGGAAGGGAAGGGAAGGGATGGGAAGGGAAGGGAAGCGAAGGGAAGGAAGGAAGGAAGGAAGGAAGGGAGAGAGGAAGGGAGGGAGGGAAGGGAAGGGGAGGGGAGGGGAGGGAAGGGGAGGGGAGGGGGAGGGGAGGGGGGAGGGGGAGGAGGAGCGGGAGAAGGAAGGGAAGGAAGGGAAAGAAGGGAAGGGAAAGGATGGGAAGGGAAGGGAAGGGAAGCGAAGGGGATGAAGGAAGGAAGGAAGGAAGGAAGGGAGAGAGGAAGGGAGGGAAGGGAAGGGAAGGGAAGGGAAGGAAGGAAGGGAAGTGAGGGAAGGGAGGGAAGGGAAGGGAAGGAGGGAGGGAGGGAGGAAAGAAGGAAGGGAGGGAGGGAGGGAGGAAAGAAAGAAGGAAGGAAGGAAGGAAGGAAGGAAGGAAGGAAGGAAGGAAGGAAGGAAGGAAGGAAGGAAGGAAGGAAGGAAATATACATATACACAATGGAGTACTATTTGGCCATAAAAGAGAAGAAAATCCTGTCCTTCATGGCAACGTGCATGGAAATGTAGAAATGGAGAACACTATGTGAGTGAGATAAGCCAGGAAAAGAAAGCTAACCATTGCAGGTTCTCACTCATATGTGGAAGCTTAACTATTTTGATCTTATAGAAATTAAAACAGAAGATACTAGAAAAGTGTAAGAAGAAGGGAGGGATAAAAAAAGAGATTTGTTGAAAGATTTGAAATTAAAGCTAGATAGAGGTGTAATAAGCTAACTTGTGCTAGCCTAACTAACTCCATCTTAGCTGTAAGATCCAGCCTAGCTTCTCCGTCCCTACCACAGCCCCCTTGGATGCATAACTGGGTCATGCTGTACTCAGAGCCTGGAACTGTTAAAGTTTGAAGCATGCTGTTCTAAGTACCTGTAACCATTGTAACTGCATCCTGCTTGGCAAGCACCCCTGCTACTGCGAATACCTCTCTTGGTAATTAATTGTATGGAAAGTCCCCCCGCTACTCCCCTTAATAACTGTATAGAAATACTCTTAGTAACCAGCAACTATGAAAACCTCCTGCCTCCTGGTTACCAGCCTCCTCCTACTTACTTGCTTGTTCTGCTTCTGTAAAATTCTGCTTCAGCTAGGCTCCCCCTCCCCTATCCTAGGCTAAGTATTAGAAAAAAATAAGGCCCCTTCCTCGGGTGGAGAGAATTTTAAGCATTAGCCATCTTTCAGTTGACGGCAATAAAGGACTCGTAATTTAAACTCAAAGTGTGGCACTCCTTCTGTAACTCGCTTAAATATAACAGGAGGAATAAGTTCTAATGCTTATACCACTATGGTATGACAATATTTAACAATGATATATAGTTTCAAATAGTTAGCAAAGTACATTGAATATTCCCAAAACAAAGAAATTATAAATGTTTGCAATGATGGATATGCTAATTACCATGATTTCATCAGGGTAATTACATATATACATTATGTGTATTGAAACATTACTATGTACCCATAAATATGCACAATTATTATGGGTCAATTAAAAAAACAAAATTATGATAATAACAGTTATATATTTATAGTATAGAGTTAAATTGAGGGGATAATTTATTTAAATTCTTGTATTGGCAAAATACATAAGTTTAAAAGTCAATAAAAAATAAGAAACAAATTAAAACCTAATTTGATAAAAATAATAGAGGTAATGAAAGAAATAAATGAAATTGAAAGTAATTAGTAAATTCACACAGTTACTTTGAAAGGATAAATAAAGTTGTTAAATCCTAGAAAGATTAAGAAAAAAAAAGACTGATAAAAGAATAAATATTATAACAGAACCTATATATTTAAATGATAATAACTGTTATGAACAAGTCTATACTCATGATTACCAAAGCTTATTTAAGAACACATTGATAATGTGAATTTTTCTGTATCTATATGTATCCATTTATTCTAGGTTTTCTAATTTATTGGCCTCTGGTTGCTCCTAGTAGCCTCTGGTTGCTCATGATCCTTAGGATTTCAAAAAGAAATTAAGAGGAAATTGAAAAATTTATTGAGGCAAATGAAAATGGAAACACAACATACCAAAACCTATGGGCTACAGCAAAAAGTAGTAGTAAGAAGGAAATTTACACCTATAATTTTCAAGATCAAAAAAGTGAAAAACCTCAAATAAACAATGTGATGACACATCTTAAAGAACTAGAAAGGCAAGAGTAAATCAGACCCAAAATAAGTATAGAAGAAAGGAAAGAATAAAGATAAGAGCAGAAATTAAAGACATTGAAATGAAAAAATACAAAATACCAACAAAATGAAAAGTTTGTTTTTTAAAAAGATAAGCCAAACCTACTAACCTTAGCCACACTAAAATAAATAAATAATAAATAAATAAATAAATAAAATACATAAATAAAATCAGAGATGAAAAAGGTGACATTATAATTGATACTGTAGAAATTCTAAGGGTCATTAGAGGCTATTAGGAGCAACTATAGGCCAATAAAGTCAAAAATCTAAAATAAATTGATACATTAGACATGCGCAACCTAGCAACACTGAACCATTAAGAAACCCAAAACCTGAAAAGACCAATAAGTAATGAGATAGAAACATAATAAAAAGTTTCCCAGGAAGGAAAAGCCCAGGACCCGACAGCTTTACTCCTGAATTTTACCAAATATTTTTAAAAGAACTAATACCAATCCTACTCAAACTACTGTGAAAAACAGACGAGGAGGGAATATTTCTAAACTCATTCTGCAAGGTCAGTATTACCCTGATACCAAAACCAAAGACACATAAGTAAAGCTACAGGCCAATAATCCTAGTGAACATTGATGCAAAAATGCTCAACGACATACTTGTAAACTGCATTCAACAACACATTGAAAAGATCATTCATCATGACCGAGTGAGATTTATCCCAGGGATGCAAGGATGATTAAACATAGGAAAATCAATTAATGTGATATATCACATCAGTAGAATGAAGGACAAAAACCGTATGATCATTTCAATTGATGCTAAAAAAAAAAAAGCATTTGATAAAATTCAACATCCCTACACGATTAAAGCTTTCAAAAAACTGTGAATAGAAGAAACATACCACAACATAAATAAAAGCCATATAGAACAGACCCTGAGTTTGTATCATACTGAATGGGGATAAACTGAAAGCCTTTCTTCCATGACTTGTAACAAGAAAAGGGTACATACTTTCAACACTGCTATTCAACGTAGTATTAGAAATCCTTAGCAAGTTCTACCTAGAGCAATCAATCAAAAAAAAGAAAGAAGTAGACATGCAAATTGGAAATAAAGTAGTCAAATTATCCTTGTTTGCAAAATTAGTGAAGACATTACCAGATAGGTGATGGGGAGAAAGGCAGCAAATCACACTGCCACATGTGTACCTATGCAACAATCTTGCATGTTCTTCACATGTACCCCAAAACCTAAAATGCAATAAAATAAAATAAAAATAAAGACATTACCGGAAACAATAATAAACAACCATAAGTTTTGAACCCAGATGCAAAATTAAAAATGTATATATTAGTAAATCAATTCTGGTAATACATATGAAATATATAATGATTAACTGGGGATTACTGTGATAATAAAAAGTTATTTTAACATCCAAAAATTAACTAACATATTTGAGCTGATTAAAAGAAATCCATATAGCGATCTGAATAGATATAGAAAATTCTATTGACAAAACTATGTAAGTATTCTTAATAAAACCTCAGAGTAGACTAAGGCAAACTTTTTTTTAATATTAGGAGCATCTACATAATCATACATCAAATGTCATACTTAATGACTACATATTGAATGTGTTCTTCCTAACATTGGGAACAAGGCAAGTATGTATGTCCTTGTAACTTATATTTAACGGGGTGCTGAGGTTTGAGCCAGTATTAAAAAGCAGGAAAAAAAGAATGAAATACAAAATTTGGAAAAAGAAAAATAACAACAGCAATAGAAATCTTTATGCACAGACAATACAGTCATTTATGTATAAAATAATAAGAAATTTATAAAACCAGACATCCGGCCAATATGTAAAATTATATTTCTTTTAAAATTATATTTGCTATAATTAAAACATAATAAAATATATAAAGTAATGCTATCCTGAAAACTACTACTTCTGAGAAAAATTACATCAGGCCTAAATTCATGTTCATAAATCAGAAGACTCAATCATGTTAAGAAGCCAATTTTCAATTTTGGTTATTAGATTAAATTTCAACCAAAATCTGATCGGCTAGAAAAAACTGGTGATTTGTTTTTAAAATTTAGATAGAAATGCAGGCTGGGCGTGGTGGCTCACGCCTATAATCCCAGCACTTTGGGAGGCCGAGGTGGGTGGATCACGAGGTCAAGAGATCGAGACCATCCTGGTCAACATGGTGAAACCCCATCTCTACTAAAAATACAAAACATTAGCTGGGCATGGTGGTGCATGCCTGTAATCCCAGCTACTCAGGAGGCTGAGGCAGGAGAATTGCCTGAACCCAGGAGGCGGCGGTTGCGGTGAGCCGAAATCGCCTCATTGCACTCCAGTCTGGGTAACAAGAGAGAACCTAAGTCTCAAAAAAAAAAAGATTTAGATAGAAATGCAAGGACTTATAATAGACGCAAATTATAATGAAGCATAAATGGGGAGAAATTATTATTCCTGGCTGATTATGTGTCAAAAGCTATCCTGAACCAGACAAAGTGATATTGGCATAAGGGAAGATAAACAGACTGATAGAGAAGAATAAAAATATACAAATACGTATTTGACCATTTAATTTTAAACAAAGACACCAAGACAATTCAAATGGGAAAGAAAAATATATTTCTAATAAATGATGGAACCACTTCACAAATCAAAAAAAAAAAAAAAAACTTAAGCCCTACATCATAACACACAAATAAATTTCAGGTATATAATAGATTTAGGTGTATAGTCTAAAGCTATAAATATTCTGATATAAAGCGTAGGAGAAAATCTGCCCCATCTTCAAGAAATAAATATTTCTTAGGACACAGAGAACAATAAATTTATATTGACAGGATTTCTTTAAAAATGAAAAAGAAATAATAATAAATCTCTACTAAGAAAATAAAAGGGCAAGCTACAGACTAGAATAAGATATTCAAAATACATATACCTGAAAAAGAGCTTGACTATGTGAAGAAATCCTATACATCAATAAGAAAAACATATCCTAATGTCTAACTTGAACAGACACTTTTAAAAAAGATATACAAATGGCCAACATGCACAGAAAAATACACCTAACATCTTTAATTCTGTGTAAATACAAATTAAAACCACAAAGAGTTACTAATTGTGGAATGGAAAAAATGACAATACTAAATGTTGATGAACATATGATAAGCAATTCCACCTCTCATAATTTGATGATGGAAGACTAAAATACACACTTTTGAAAACTAATCCAGTTTCTTACAAAGTTAAACATAAAAATATTTCCTCATTTATCAATTTCATTCCTAGGTCTTTACCCAAGATAAACTGAATTTCCACAGAAAAGCTTTTACATACCTGCTTATAGCAGCATTACTGAAAGTACAGGAAACTTTGAAAAAAAAATCTAATATTCATTCAAAGAAAAACAGATTTGTAAAAATGT